CTGTTATTTGGTCTTAAATGTTGGGCTAAATAATTTATTCATTCGATTTTTTTCTAATAATTGCGTCGTCGAATTTGGCCAGATCGGAAAGAAGGAAAACATCAAGGTCACAATATAGTTTTGAATAGCTATGTTCATACAAGAAAGTTTCTAATATTCATATCAATCATTGTATAATTCAAATTTATGTTTATGTATGATTGCTTCGAATAAAATTTACACGTTTGACCTTTTAATATTGCTAAGGTGAACAGACCATGCAGTAGGATTATGGATGGCATGCAGTTGCTTATACAAAAAGAAAATTATATTTAAATACTAGTAGTAATCAATATCTGAATATCCATTTTACCATGAAGTTCTTTGAACGTTTAACACTTTGACTTATTATCCTTTCGCACTTGTAAAACAAAACTGGATCTGTACGGACTCTAAATATGAAAACAGGAATAGTCTTAAGAATAACTGATTTAGCTTCTCTATATGTGATATTTACCTAACGTCAAGAGCAGAATACAATCAATTGTAACCGCAGTTGATTACTATAAAGTGATCAATTTCTTGTTCATTATTGATGTGTTTATCGACGAGTTGACGTGACAGAGTAACGGAATAACATATCGGAGAATTCCAGGCGGTAATATTCCCGCCATATATCAGACGTTTTACTCTGGATTAAAGTTTTATGAGAAACTAATCTGTATCTCTAACGGCTACTCTGCGTTGTAGATAACTTGTAAATTGAGCTCTGTTTGGTCTCTGCTTTGACTACGTTCGTTGATTTTAAGATAACTCAAGCTATATTGGAAATTTATCCTTCCTTGTCTACGGGGCATTTATGGATTCAAATCCTGTTTGTGAGTATAGTGTAGTTTATGCTTGTGAAATTCATTTTGTCTTAAAAGCATCATTTATTGAATTTAACATATGGATCAATAACTTGCAATTTATATACGTATTCAGTAAAGAAAAGGGGTGAGTATTTTAATTTTGCGGTAAGAGTTACTTTACACAAATTCGTCTTTAATGTCTTTAATGAATTATCATACTGTGTCCACCAACCTTTCTCCATTTTGTTTTTATAGATACTAAAATTAACTACTCTAAAGATGACTGGCAATACCGATACCATATGGGAAAGGAAACACTATCTTTAGGAAATACTATAATCTGTTAATTTTACAAGTTTTGTATTTGAAAAGCAATCGAAATAGTTTTAAAATTAAATATACAAATGTGGTATAGTATTTACCCTGATATTTCCGTCACAGCCTCAGCATCAAATGCTTTAGAATTATTAAAATTCTCAAGCCTCCTTTGCAAAATGAAAATACAATCTGATGACACATTACACGATTGTGTACTTTGTGCGAGTATTGATCTATATAATAGACTAATACCCTGAAAAAGACAACGCAACCAAATTAATAGCTGGAAAGTGTTTAATGGAGCGAAATCTAAACGTTTAGATTATGGTTTGTAAGTTGACACTGAGATGTTACCTTTTGTGATCCAAATGATCCATCCATCTATTCATTAACGTAACCATCGAACCTACATGACAAGTCTGTTTCAAAAAGCATCTTAAAGATAACATATACTGTTTAAAAATGAAAGACTTAAGATCAATGCGTTTATTTGCATAATTTCAGGCAAACACCAAAACCATTTTTTTAAACGAACAAAACAGTATAAACTGACAAGTAAAGGACAATCTAATTTTCTTATGTAAAATTAATTATAAATGTCTGAAGCAAATTTGTTAACAATATAAGACTAAAACTACAAAATAAATATATATGATAATGAATATCTGTGAAATAAGAAACAATGATTGAAACTGAACGTTGATTTATTTGTCAATTCGGAGCCCTATAGTTGTTTATATTCTCCCCATTTCGTCATTCTGGATAGTTGTCTCATAAGCATTGTTTTTATATGTATACATTTTTGTTTTAGTTTGAAGAATATGTATTTAAATGTGAAATTAACTAAATTTCGAGGTTTAACTCGTACGGAAACCAATGTTGACGTATACTGGCTACGTTTTAGAAAAAAAATCTTTTCTGATTTATCTCTCAATGGAACAAATGGAGGTTTACTACAATAAACCTGAAACGGTTTAATTATTTTTGACATATATTTTGCTACGAGCCTTCCACTGGTATGGGGGTCCTCGGTGGCCGAGTGGTCTAAGTAGTTACTACTATAATCACTAGCCAGTCAACACTGAGGTTGTGAGTTCAAACCCCGCTCGTGCGGGTGCACTCGACTCCAATCTTAATTGACTAGGATTGTCAGTTTTCCTATCGAAGGTCATGTTTTATCCGGGCACTCCGGCTTCCTCCACCAATAAAAACTGGCCGCCACGAAATAGCCCAAAAGCGGTGCTTAAAAGTGGCGTTGAAACACCAAAAATCAAATCAAATCAATCCACTGGTATGGCGTATTACTATGATTTGGTGGTATTACACCTCAACACCAATAATCAGACCGAAAGGGATTGTGCATTTATACGCCCTGTAAAAGGAAATAAATAAATGATCGGGGGAGATTAAAAGGTAAAATACGTTTTTTAAAATACAAAAAAGTTATTTGCACCACAAATAGAAAACTACTAACACACTTAACAAAAAAAAAACAAATAAAACCACCAAAACTTTAAAAAAAAAATAAAAGATTTAGAAATGGAATGCCTAATGCACTTATGTAATGACTTTGAAAATCAATTAATATAATAATAAAAATTAAAAACGGAATAGTCCAAAAATCAAAAACTGAAATACGTAGACAAAACAAAACACCCGCAACATTCTATAATTTTTTTTATGTTCCTATACCAAGTCATTAGCTGTGATTTAGTGGATATTAATTGTTGGTTGCTGTCTGTTATGTTTGTTTTTTCTTTCGTTTATTGTTTTACCATGAATCATGCCGTTTGTTTTTTCGTTTGAATTGTTCCATATTTTGTGTCATGTCTGGATCTTTTATAGCTGACTATTCGGTATGGATTTTGCTCATTGTTGAAGGCCGTGCGGTGACCTAAACTTTCTTACATCCACTTCAGTTGGACTCAGTTTGATGGTTGTCTTATTTGCAATCATCCCGTATCTGATTTTATATAAAAGTAATTACAATAAACCAGTTATCTTAATTATTAATGCGAAACAATCTAAATTCGGGATATACGCATGGAAGAAACGAAGATATGATAAATGACAAAATATATAACAGTTATTGGTATTACTATTATCATCTCATCTTAGTTTTAATGGCTGGTTAAAAAGATGTAAAGAAATTTCTATACTAGATACAACCAACGATAAAAAAAGAATTATTAAGCGATTTAAATGAGTTAACGAATAAAAAATCCCTATGATAGTTCAGTTCAATAATTACCGTAAATTTTAAAACGTATTCATATACTATGAATACAAAGAAATTGTGGGTATACAAATATCAAACGACATCAAGTGGATAACTTACAATCCTCAACAGTAACCATGGTAACAGGTGCTTATACAAAACATAAAGCTCTAAATAGTCCAAAGTCTATGATTTATTAAAATTTAATTTAAGCAATCAGAGATCTTCCACCAACACATAATTCTCCAAATAAAGAAGAAAACATTAAAATATGACATACGACAACTTCTGTCTGTCCAGGGGAAAGAGAAAACAGGCAAATCTGGCGGGATTAAACTGAATTTAATTAAGATCACATGCCTCATCCTTTTTAATGTCGTTAACGTATAGTAGATCAACAAATCGTACTAAAAAGAACTTTGAATAAATCTCGGCAAGTATTTTAAGTTTCTTAAAAATCAACATCAACCAGCAAAGCTATACATTTCCTGTAACCAAGAAAACAGTGACTATAACCTGGACCAATGTATAACCTTGATGTAGGTCGTTGCGATGGCAAAAACCACACAGACATAATGTTCCCTTTTTGCATTAATATATTCGATATAACGAACAAATTTGTTTGAAGTCTATTATTACACAATGTAAATTTGAATTGATTTTCAAGAAACATGCATCTTCATGACCTTTTCACAGCATAAACCTATTCGATATGAAAGAACTTGTGTCAATAAATGTGATTAAAATGATTAAAAGTAGACGAGATTGCTTTTATACGGGTGCAATAAAACAGCATCTTGTCTGAGTAATATAATTTTTTTTCATGTGCAATTACAAAATTCCGGGTCATTAGTTTCGATTATGCATAGTAACATAATGAAGCGAATAATGTAGAGTTGCTTTAGGCCTAGAGCATAAAGCAAATGATCGTGTGCGAGTGCTGGGTTTTCATATGGTTTAGTTTGTATATATGTTTGTTTGTGTGTTGGTGGATTGGTAAGTGTAATATATTTTTCTCGATTGAATCAATTTTAATTTTATAATGTCTATCTCGTAGTGAACTATTGTGTGTATACAGACGAAAACCTCAAAATTCAAATCCATACTATGCACTTCAGAATTTCGACGGTCACACAAACAAACTGATGATCGCTACACTTAGTAACTCTTTTTAATTCTGTCCAAGGCCCCCCAATTCCCTAACCAGTCATATACATTTTCAAACATTTTTGCCATTGTCCTCACTATAAGAAAACTTAATTTCGTATGCATCTTTAAAATACTTTTTATAAATCTATACATAATTAGTTTTTCTTTTTATGGGATATTTTTTTTGCCTGACCATTACCAAAAAAGCAATTGTGCGCCATTTTGAAAATTCTTCTAAACGCAACATATCCAATGTACGCCGACGCGGCGTTAACACAGCTCGGGGAAAGGGTTTTGTTGTTGTCGTTTTTTTTTTATTTTAGTCAATGTTGTTGCCAATATTTATGTTTTTAAATGGTTCTAATTGATCTTGACAAATATACAAACAACGGAACGAAAACTACTCAAACCATAACCCCTTCATAAGACTTAAACATATTGTACATGTAAGTAATGGCTAAACAGAATTTTGTTTTAAATTTCAGATGACAGTTAATACACAAAGGCTGACCATATTGCAACAATCATTGGAAAATTTACTTACAGAGAAACGAACACTTAATTCTAAAGTTATCTCAGACTCGTATAATCATTTTAAGAATTGTATTTCAAAGGTATGCATATCATAGTTTGCTTATATAATATAACAAACTCTGAATCTCAATCATCGCCCAACCATTATTTGTTTATATCAAAATGATACAAAGACACAGAAAAGTGAGGAAAAACCAAGAAGACAATTATTTATGTACTGTGACCAAAATATAAAAAGACAAGAAGACAGTAGTCAGAAAACACTAATAAAACATGGAAATCTTTTTAAATTAATGAATGTATCTCCCTCGTGCATAGTAAACAAATCCTGTGTTCGATAGAGATATGTAGAACTGTGAGAACCAGTTTGTATCAAATAAGAAAATCAGTTCATAGCCCTATTAATAATTTACTGAATAAATTGTATAGCTTTATTGATTTTAAATAATATTATAATACGTATTACTGATGATAACATAGCTTATTCTGGATGATCCTATTTTTTTTACAGACTAAGGCAGGGCAGGCAAATGACCTTAAACCATCTTTAAAAAGATTAGAACAAAGCTTAAAGAACGAAGGTGCTTATAAAAATGTCAAAGCAAAGTTTGAGCAAATCAAAGCAGATATTTTAGATGTGAGTACATGTGTATTTTTCAAATTTTCTTTTTTTTTGGGGGGGGGGGGGGAGGGGGGTCAGAAAAGAGTATCGGTTTTTGGTTTATAGCCATCCTTATGTTTGATAAACATAATGACACATTATTATTCAAATTTATTTACAACTGAAGTCTGCTTTATAGTGCCCCAGTTGCCAATTGAAGGTTATTCGTAAATGTGTCAAATTTACAGACGTAGGCACAAAACAAGCAATTTACCAAATGTTTATAATGTTTATACGAAATCAAACGGCAGAACCATATTTTTGTCGCTTTGAAGATTTCTGTGAACACTTTCCACAATGAAGATCGACATTCCGTTTAAAATTTCAATTCCGTGGAGGGATTGGATTCATTCAACCTTGAAATTATTTTTTTTTCAATTGTGGTACAAATTAACAAGGTTGTGGTTCAAAGCAATCTTACAAGAAGTAATACAATGCAACATGACAAAAACAAGGCTTGTAAACCATGTTCAAAAGTAAAACCACAAAAGTACCAGATAATTAAAGAAAGGGCAATTTTCTCTAATAGAGAAAAGGGGATTGGGGCTAACTCAACTTCGTTTTTGTGCACGTTTAACAATGCCTTCGTGAAATTCTATCGAGAAAATGTATGTTATTCTGGGGAATAAAGCTGTCTCTCCTTTCTCCGTTCCTAATTGTATTTACCATGTCCCTTAAACTAATAAAGCTTTCCGTAATTTAGAGTTTATATTACATGTACATGTGATATATATTAATTCAAATTATCAGACTGTAGTGAGCTGTTACGTACAGAAGTAGTGTATTATTTTGTCAAATCTTGTTCTGTTACGTGCACATGGTACAGTTTTAGTGTATTATTTTGTCAAATCATGTTCTCTAGAATTATCACGTGTTCTTAAATGTGATTTATGAAATTATCGCTCTTCGTTACATACCAATATGATATCGCAATCCAACCCAAAAAACAACAATTTCATGATTTGCACCTGGTATCACTCGGTTCATATACGTATAGTGCTAATTGACAAATAATCAATTGTAACTGTTGCGTTGCGATAAAGTCTAAATTGAAAACAATAATTTCTCGATTCGCAATTTGTAAGTAGTTAATAATTTGAATACTTGTTTCCACCACTCCCACGTCACAGTGCGAGTGCTTAAATACACCATATTTCAAATGGTTTGTCTCTCTTTCTGTCTGGAGCTAGAACAAGTTACGCCGCGTTTGAAGTTAAGACTCGCCCATATATACAAGTATGAGGTATTTATTATAGAGGTTACTGTCCATATTTATACTAATTCATTCGTTCGGTCGGTATATTTGTCGAAATGATTATGCACTATGTACTAGTATTTACTATGTGAATTAGTTGCACAATTGATACATCCTTTCCTGTCAAGTTATGTACGTAAGATATATTATTACTGTCTCTCGTTGTTGTTTCTTTTTGCAATATTTCTATGATACATAAACAGGAATAACAGAAATCGCCAAAAAAAAAACATCGTTCACTGAAACACATCAATCACCAACACTCGATAGACATAGCAGCTGACTATACGGCATTGTTTTTGTTTTTATTTTTGACGGCCGTTTAGTTCCCTGTAGTTGTAAACATCATTGTCCTTTGGTCTCTTTTAGATAGTTGTTGTCTCGTTGGCAAACGCACTACATCTTCTAATTTTGTATATATAAACTAAGACAAATGGGGCAGGTAGATACCTGACTTGACATAGGAAAACATGTAAAGAGGATTGTATTAAACCAGTTTTACGTGCACACAGCACCCCCACCCCTACCTCCGCTTTACCTGTCTGGAAAAATTGTCATTAAACATTAAAACTCAAAACAACAATAACCTGCACAGTCTAGCTACCAACAGGGTGTGTATTCTGCAACAACTCTTCTAGATTGACTGAAAGTTATGACAGTATTTATTAGTTATCTTTAACTATAATAGTCTGATGATATTACAATTTTTGCAACAAATCATTATGAAAAAGAAATGTATTCATTTAATTATGTAGTAATAAGAATACTAAAAGTAACACAACAGTACACTTTAAGTTGACAAAGAAGTGAAAAATGTATGAGCGAAAAGTTAATTCTATTATTATAGATGAACTAGTGCGATTGCTTTAATTGACAAACTGTCGTTTCAATTTATGTTGCACCTTCTTATATGAAATTAGTTATTATGAAGTAATTGTATCGCAGATCATTAAGCGATAACTTACACGTTTAATTTTAGGTTGTTGATAGTACTAGTACTATGAAAGCGATAAAACGTGATACACAGAATCCACAACGGTTGGACAAAAAGATAGAAGATAAAACTGGTAACAGAGCAAGGACGGTAACTCTCCAACACGCTCAGGAGAGACAAAAGGCAAAAGGTCACGGAATACCTGTCGTACCTGTCATAAAACGCCCAGTAATACAGTCTGACCAGTCCACATTTAGAAACAGTCATAAAACACCAGTTATTGAAGTGTAAGTTGTTTAAGGCATAGTTCGACATTTTGAATAAGATAGTTTATATGTCGATAAAACACCAATCCAACAACACAAAAAAAATTGAAAGATATATAATCATATATAATTGAAATTGGTCTAGTATATTGTGTTAAATTTCTTAAACTGTATTACGTTTTGCTCTGTATTGTTACCAATGTCCTGTTCTTAAGTAAGTAAACCTGGGATATGAATTTGATTGACGGCTGGTGCATACATGGAAACTCCGTATCCTGTTGAAACGACGCACCAAGTTTCACTCCATTTGAAGTTCATGTGATTTCTCAAGGTTTTTTTTTTCTCGGCGAATGTAGTCAAAATGAATAATAACAGTTTTGCACATCGGTAAACTACTGTTGCCACTTAATTACGATGTGAAAACAGAAATACACATAGTTATTCTAATAACACATGTTTATAATGTTCAATGGCAACGTAATTCAAATTTTCTAAAACTGTCTTTGAATCAAGTTAAAGTAAAAAGAAGCTTGCTTTTGCTGTGTGTATGCAGTAGAATGTGCCACGTGCTTGTGATTTATTCCCCTTAATAATCAAAGTATAAACTGTCAACTACTAATAAGTCATGTGATTTAAGACAATGAAGTTAAATATTGATTCGAAGACATTAAAACTTAATGATCAGTTTTGAAGTTCCGCGACTCAATCATGTACGTATTCTTTGTGTACGGATACAGTTGCTCACACTGAATTTTTGCTCTTCAAACATATTGTTATATTGAAATTTTCTTTCATTATTTACAGCAATGGTCGAGGGAACAGTGGAAATGCTTCCTCTGAAGAACTGTTAGGACTAAATAAAACTATTTCTAGACTGTTTGATCAATTAGACATTGATAAAACCAAACACGGTCAAAATATACCTCAAAAAGACACATCAAAACAAACAGCAAAGACTACAAAACCTCAGGCAAAAACGGGTCATAAACTTCCTAAAGGTGAAGAATTAAAAGATGTCAGGACATTAGTGGCCAAATTGAAAATATTTGAGGACGAGTTTCAGAAAAGAAAATTAACGCAAGATGAATACTTGCAAAGGTTGGTACGCAATAGAGAAACTGTTGTTTTATATGCAAACAAAAACGTTACAGTAAATATCAAATAGAGAGTATAAGGGGAAATTTTATAATACCCATTGCAGATTGCATGTGCCACTGGAATTAGGGATCATCTCTCGAGACTATAAGGACTGCAGATAAAGCATTCAGAAACATAAAAATGGTTGTATAAGTTATAGAATAACCAAGATCAGATGCGGTAAAATTTTTAAGGAATTAACAACTTTAGTTTTAGATGATTTCTTTAGACAAGTGATGTTTCCTCTTTTTATACCTTTATGACAGTACTTAGAAATAAGTTTAGATTTTTTGATATTTCAATCGAAGAAAAAAATTGTATGGGTTTCGCAAGTACTTTTCAAACTAAAGAACATGCATTAATGACTTGAATATGAGAAAACTTATCTATGTAATTACTAATATACCACAACAACGGAAACTAAATGTATACATACATTTTAAAAGTTGTTTTAAGTTATATGACTGGGTTTTATGTACACAGTTATTGGTTGTTTAAACGTTCAAACCTATGATTGCGTTGGATAAAAAACGCAATTTTTATACGTGTGCATGTAAAACAAATTTCTTGGTAGATGGGTCTAAATACAGCACAAACAACATTTTCTAAAAGACCAAAAAAGTGAAAAAGTATATTTTAACAAAACGCATTTGACTTATAACAGGTCGAACAACGGATGTTCTTAAACCCTGCTGACTGCCATTGGCGATTGCCAAATGAATTTATCACCAGATGTAACAAAATGGATCTTAATATTAATTAAGTACCAAACAGAAAACAATAAACTTGCGGAAAAGATGATATACCACAAACATGAGGTGCAAATATTTGTACACCATATTCGGATTTCGACAATTAATGTCTCTTCAGTGATGTTAGAGATCGAAATGGTATTTGGAAGGCCATATAATTTACCTCAATTTTGGATAGACTCTTGAATTTTAAAAAGTCGAAATAGGATGAACGGATCATATAAACCCGAAGGAAAATATAATACAAGCCCAAACGATAAAATATAAACAAGTCTAAATTGAAAACAACGTTCAAACCTATGATTGCGTTGGATTAAAACCGCAATTTTTATACGTGTGCATGTAAAACAAATTTCTTGGTAGAGGGGTCTAAACAAGCACAAACAACATTTTCCAAAAGACTAAAAAAGTGAAAAAGTATATTTTAACAAAACGCATTTGACTAACAGGTCGAACAACGGATGTTCTTAAACCCTGCTGACTGCCATTGGCGATTGCCAAATAAATTTATAACCAGATGTAACAAAATGGATCTTTATATTAATTTAATAGCAAACAGAAAACAATTAACTTGCGGAAAAGATGATATACCACAAACATGAGGTGCAAAAATTTGTACACCATACCCGGATTTCGACAATTAATGTCTCTTCAGTGATGTTAGGGATCGAAACGGTATTTGGAAGGCAATATAATTTACCTCAATTTTGGATAGACTCTTGAATTTTAAAGAGTCGAAATAGGATGAACGGATCATATATATAGTATTATTTGACATGAATGTTATAAATGAGAGAAATACAAAAATGTACATAAAAATAAGAAGATGTGGTATGATTGTCAATGAGACAACTATCCACCAAAGTTTAAATGAAGTGGATGTAAGCAAGTATGACAACCGTACGGCCTACAACCATATAGTCGGCTATAAAAGACCCCGACATGAAAAATATGAAACAATTCAATTGAGAAAACTAACAGCCTAATTTATAACAAATCAATTTACGAAAAACAAATATGACAGACATGAACCAACGACAACCACTGAACAACAGGCTCCTGACTTTGGACAGGCATATAAAGAATGTGGCAATTATAAAAATGTGCCTGTATATAAAAAGTTTTTAAAGATGATTTTAAATTTATTTTCAGTTTACAAGTTGAAGTGGAGAGATTACAATCAGCGTTATCTAGAAAAGAACAGGAACTTGACAGGTTAGTACTGCAAGCAAATAAAGGAATATTGACCTCAACAGTATATGTCTTTTGCTTGTTGTATTGTTGGATTGCTGTTTAGCTGAGGTACAAACCACATATTCTTTTATTCAGATTGGAATCAACTATTTCAAGAAAAATTAGCATAATATTCTAAAATTTCAAAGCTTTTTTTATTAAGCATTACCATTGAAAGAATCTATCGGTAATGGCCTTTAAAATATATTGCCATCACTCTGCTACTGTTTTCCGGTTTAAACTTGGATGGTTAAGCTTAATTTGTTTGTGTCCTCTACTACTGGCGATTGCGTCGTTCTTACATTGTCATCTGAGGTTACATGTTAGTTTCCCCATTAACTTATGGTTCAATATGTGATATCTGTTATACAGTAGTCATCTGGGGCCAAAATAAGACAATCGTTCTTTGAGTGTCAGAATTCAAATTTCTCATTCATATTTCCAGTTCACCTTCTTTTGGCTATACAATTTACTTCACATTGACGATACTTATCAGATTGTATAACATATCATGTTATGCCTGGAAACTCGTTTTTGTTAGCAGTATTTGATTGTTAATATCAGCTGTTAATAAACAAAGCATCGTTTAGTAAGTTTTTCTATTTTCTGTAGATTGCGAAGCACTCATTCTATTGCACAAAGGGCAAAAGGAAAAACAGTAGAAAGAATGGCAGAAATGTAAGTTCAAATTTTATATTTTTCTATTCATATATATATTTTTTAGTCTATTATTCATAAAAATAGACGAGTACTACATGTAACAGATAATGAACAAGTTCACATAAATGATATCATTGTATTATATTGCGAAATGTATGTAAGAACATTTTTCATAGATTTTCTACAAGACAGATTGTAACATTAAAGCCACTGTTTATAGTACACGTGTACTAACATAACGTATGCATTTTTTTACCTAAAAAAATACACACTTGTCATGAAATCCATCGGATATATTCGTAGCGATTTTTACAATTATGCTTTCGATTTTTGGTTTAGACTATTAATGCGTTTTTTTTTTTAAACATTTAAACCTTTTGGCTAAATATCGTGATGGCTTACTTTGGAAATACCACAAAATAAATTCCCATTGTTTTACTTGTAGCCATGAACATGAGAAGCGAGATATGGTGGTAAAGCTACAGACCTTAGAACTGAATATAAAGAAGAACTTAGAGGTGTAAGTTTAGCGTGTTTCATTGCTTTCTTTCAAAGTTTTGACTAATTGTTTGATAGTTCTATTGCTTCGTGAGCTAAATGACATAATAATTTACACATATTCAGGATGAGAACCACGTTTTTGAATAAGAAAATGCTATCGTGAAAAAAATGTCAAACAAAACATTTTGACTACATAGATTAAACATGAAGTTAGTGAGTACAAGCCTTTTCCCTGACAGATCCGAAGTGTTGCTTTTAAAGGGGTCCGTTTCAAAATGCGTATTAGTGAACCGCGTACAACAAAAACTAAAACAGCTTTACCCTTAACAAGACACATTAGCCAGACTTGGAATTTCAAGGTAACACAATTAAATTTAGAAATAACTGTATTCCAGTTTCACTGTTTCTCTGAGGGTACCTCAAGTTATTCTTCCATTAGATTGTATATATTAGATGCATGATTGTGTAAAAACATGAATTGGTTCTTATCAATTCTGCCTTTGCTTCAGAATAAAAGTCTTTATCTTAAAGCTTTTACAAATACAATATTGTATATGTTAAGTATATTAATTAGTTATTCTAGTGTTTGTAGTAAATTAACTTTCATCTTAGTGCATGTTTACTATTTAGTCATCATAAAGAGACGGAAGACACAAGACATCGTCAAGTTCTGGACAATCTATCTTCGGAAATACTTCGTGTGTGTACCACTGTCAACAAACGGAATAAAATACATCGGACACGATCAGAAGCTTCCAATATGAATAAAATTAGAGACAAAGATACATATGATGACTTACTTCCACGGATTGTTAATTTAGGAGAGGAAATACAAATGTTACAGAAAACAAAGTCTGAATTGTCTAGGTTAGCTCTACATGTCTTTATTTATATTTCTATTCCAGTTGAAGAATTAAAAAATATTCTTTGAAACTAAGGTTCTAGCTCCCTCATGCAAAGCTGACCTTAGATTAACTTTGGCCATACATTTTAGGTTCATACTGGTCATAAAGCTCCTCATTTTTATACGTTTTTATACATCCCAGCTGGTTTTTATTTTTTTTTATTGTAGCGTTGCAGATGACCATGGTAAAGTCAGAAACGCTCTTTGGACGCACGATATTTAATAAACAATATAAACAGTACCAATTTTACTGCACCAGATGCGCATTTCGACAATTGCTATCTGTTCAGTGATGCTCGAGGCCAAAATACTTGAAAATCCAAAAACTTATACAAACGTTGAATAGCTGATTAAACCAAAAGGACCAAAAGTATATTCAAAACCGGACAAGTAATCAGAGCTTTGCACGAGGGAGATATTCTTCAATTTAAAATGATTTCGTAAAATTTATAACAGTAAATTTCAATCAAAACAATATCCGTATGTTCATGCCAGTACTTCTGGACTAGTGATACCCTCGAGGACTAATAGTCCACCAGCAAAGGTATCAAATAAGTGGTAGTAATAATATAAATGGTACCATTATAAAGTGTTATTTTCATACATTACAAGTATATCGTTTTCTCTGTATATTTTGTACGTGATAAGCACTGATGGAGAGTTGTCTCATTGGCAATCATTCCACATGTTGTTATTTTCACACCTGTCACCGAAAATATGAAACTGTCGTCTAGAAACTAACAGTTGTGGTCGTCTCTTTAAGGAAATTAAAGTAGTTATGCATGCATTTTTAGGAGTTAGAGTAAATATTACAGTAATATTACAGTACGATAGTTACTTGTAAAACATAGCTAGATTCTAGTAAAAGCCTGGTTTAAATAGATAACTGCTAGTAAATAATTTATTCTTATTTTTATGGATGTTCAATCACTTTCAAGGCCTTGAAAACTACTTTCCTTTGAATTGCTTTGAATAAGCTCTTAGTTCTATACTCGCTAGATTGATCATAGTACTTTAGAAAAATGAAAAAAAATATACATTAGTCTAGATGTATCTTAACCAAAAGTTGTAACAATATTTTCACATTGTTTTTCATAGAGATAATAATGATTTACAAGTCTGGAAGGCTAGCTTTGCTGACATATCTTCTGAAGTTGATTCTCTATGGAAAGACGTTTATTCGAATAGAAACTTTCCAGATGTTAGACATGCATCCAAAACAGCAGATTCAGACAGTCCAAGATCTAAGTCTGGTCCAATTAAAGCAAAAATAGCAACGGCTAAAGCATTACTAGTTAGTAATTCTAAGAAACTTGAAGAAGCGGAAAGGTAATAAAATATAAGTAATTTTATGTTTATTGGTGGTGTTAAACGTCACTTTAAGCACACTTTGGTGTATCTTGGCGGCCAGATTTAATTTGAGGAGGAACCGGAGTACACGAAGAGAACCATCGACATTCGGCAGGAAAACTGCCAATCCTAGTCAATTAAGATCGGGGTCGAACCCACCTTGCCATGAGCGGCATTCAACTGGAAATTTCATTGTTGACAGACCAGTGATCTCTGTGGAAGAAATGCTAACACCATTCGGTCATCGAGGCACATTATATTTTATGAAAAGAAATACAGTACTGTTAATTCAAAAAGTGTTCGAAGAGAAAAATTCTATCGGCTTCGTATTTTAATAATTGCAATCCACATATTAAACCCTGGCGACATGATAGACATTGCAGTATATATATACACGAGTTGTTACTGTAACAGTAAACTCTATATCGGGCAAGCTATATTTCCGCAAAAAAAAATCAGATTCTGAAACTTATCAACCTATCTTTTTTCTTTAGATTAAACTTTACTATGAATAATATTTTTGGTTGATTTAATTGATTCCTAATTTCTATTCAGAAAATTAAGTGAAGGTCTTGGTTCTTCAAACGGTAGTGAGATTCTGAAAAAAGTAGCAGAGGAATTAAACAAACTACAAACCGACTATAGACCATCTAACAGTAGACTAAGTTTGAGAAGCATTAGCACAAATAAATCAGACGAACTACCAGAAACTACAGAGATAACTCATTCTGTGAAAAATATCAGAAAATTGATGCAAGATTTTGAGAGGTATGTACAGACACCATAATAAAAGGATCATATATTTAAAATGCTTCGCTAAGCTTAAAAAAATTAACGAATTTAGAATTACAATATTTATATTTCCAATACATGTACCAACAAGATGAAGAACTATACGTTTTTTCAATAAACTAAATTCCTTTAACATACGTGAATAATGGTAATTAACCTAATTTTTATAATTGATATCAAAACGTTTTATGTGTATCGTTGCATATGATCTCATTGACGTAATCCCCATGATTACTAGTGTAAGTTCCTACGAAATGTGATCCAACTTTTCAACACTCAGTTTACATAATTTTCAAACATAAATGACGTTTCTTTTCAGTCGTATAACCGAATATGAAAAGACAATAAAAGAACATGATAATGACATGGAAGTTCTACGTCATAGGATTGTTAAACTTGGTGCAGGTGTACTGAACGACGACAATATACACGAAACAGACAGTAGAACAAATGGAAAAGTTAAAAACGCTCACGTGCTTTCTGAAAAATTGAGTACTATGATTAAAAAGTTGGAAATATTCGACGAACGTTTGAAACAACTCCAAGAACAGAACAAAATATATAAAAGGTAATACAGTGTTATCACAAAAGTTTTTAAAATTAGAAAAGATGAATTTCCATAACAAAATTACACAAACTGTGAAGAAAATGGAACAGCATACAGACATTCTATAAAGTTAGTTTCTTTATCTGTTTCAATATCAATATTTATGGATGATCAGTTGACTGCCTTTTATAAGATACGATTGAAGTTTCTCATTTCAGTCGAATAATTCTAAGATTCCAAGGTTATTTGTGCTCATTACTCATTAAGTAATAAACTTAAAGTTTAAATATGTCCTTGTGTTTGTGAATTAATGATATAATACAAATTATATACGTTCATATCCGTAGATATGGATATTTTAACACCATGAGGCGCAGCCGAAGGGTGTACAGGGTACTGAAGGGTGTTAAAATATCCATATCTACGGATATGAACGTAGATAACGAATTTATCCCCGGTCTTAATCTAAATCTGGCAATTTTTAGAGAAATTCGACCACAAAGTTTAACGTGAAAGCAACGTTTTTTTCATTTTTTAAATATCTTTTATTGAAAATTGGGAATTTGACATAATTTTTACAGGGTGTAGGGTACTACCTTTGGTAGAACCCTACAGGTAGACAAATATAAGACGTTTTTAATCTAGAGACAGAAAACTGAAATGGGTTGAATTTGGCGCTCAATGTTGTGAGAGTTACATCATAGACGGCGTGACGTCAACGTGGGTCATTTGCATAGCTAGGTCAGTAGTCCCATTTATTGACAATGTGGCAGCATAGTGATGCATTTACTAAAATGAGTGCAAATAATCGACATATAATAAGATAAAATCGTTAGTGGATTAAGTATCTAATTATACAGACATCATGGATAATCTACATAATTCGATATTTCATAAGGAACAACCATGGAACTAAGGAAAACGCGCGTGAAGTTCCCCGATGTAATGGGTAGCAACGTCCGGGGATATGGGTTAGCAACATCCAGGGCTATGGGGTTTGTAACGACGTGTGTTAACCAATCAAAATCCTAGAAATATACTAAGCCGGGGATAATTGTGTTTATTCCCTTGAAAAGTAAAAAAACAACAAGGTAAATACGTTCATTATTATAAAATGTATGAATGGAATGCATCTTTTTTGTATTTTCAGTGTCAATACTTGTATATATAAATAATGTAAAATAATATTGAGATATTTAAGTTGAAAATAGTCATACACGTTTTAATTTTAAATTGCAAGGTTTTATCTGGAATGGTTTGAATCCCTGTTTCAACGTACTTATGCGTAGATCTATTTTCGCGTTTATTTGTTTCCGGGGAGAAATTCATTTTCCAATTTCACATTTTGTTCGTTAATGTAACTTCAATACTTGTATTATGTTTTTAGTATTTTATCTTTATCATTTACGTAAATATGTTCTTACGTTTTAATTATCTTTCTATTTAAACATTTTATATCAGGCAGCTTGAAGGGAAAGACTCTAATAGCCACAGACTTGCTGTTATCGAGACAGACCTTCACGAACTTTGTAATATATTGAGAGTTCAAGACACAGAAAAACAAACAGAGTCATCAGGTGATAAATTGAAAGCTCAATTGAGGCTATGTAAGAATGTATCTAGAAAACTCACAGACGAGAAAGATAATATTGAAAGGTAAATTTGGATTTTCTTTTTAATCAGACCATTTCTATTTTCTTGGCACATGTATCGGGATATTGTCAATGCAACTATCTCTCTGTTTGCAACTTTTGTTTGCCGTATTGAAAGGTATCGCTTAATGGTTAAAGTATGAATCATAATAGACGTTCGTTGTTAAGTAAACTTAAAATATACACATTTTTACCAGGCTTCAGATTTGTACACCAGACGCGCGTTTCGTCTACAAATGACAATCATTATCTGCATGAATGTTTGAAGCTCATTACTCATAAATTTCGCCTTAAAGCATAAAATTCACTTTTATGTGTTTTGGAACTTGATGAATTTGAAGCTGTCGCGTTACATGTAGGTGTGGAACCTTAAACACTACAAATTTTGTCTAATATGCATCTTTCAAAATAGGACCATAAGGATACCGGAGTGTTGCGGCAGTTAACATGATTGAAGTATATTGTCCTGGCTTTTTTTATTTTAAAACAACCATAAACGATCAAGCTAAATTGCATCTATTTAAGTAATTTACTGTTTAAAAAAAAACCCTCCTCGGTGGTGTCGTTGTAGCGTGTTCGCCTCGAGTGCGGGAGGTCGTGGGTTCGAACCCCGGTCGGGTCAAACAAAAGGCTTTAAAATTGGTATTTGCTGATTCTCCGCATTAGCACGCGACATTAAGGAGTAAGAGCAAAGACTGGTTGATTCGGAGTCAGAATAATGTGTCCTGGTAAGGTGACATGTCTTCCTGCGGACAGTTACCTTGTGAACTAGCACGTGTCGGTCTAGTACAAGGCAGGGTTAATATTCATATTACATTAACATGTTCTCGTCCCGAATATGCATATCAATTTGCCGTTGGACGTTAAGCAGCCATCCCATTATCATCATTTTTTTTTAAAAATGTGCTATGTTGCTTCATTGGTATTTATACAGTTTGGTTGAATTAATTATCAAATTCAAGGAGACGGCTATGTACTAACGAATACATCATATACGCGATTTTGAATAATAGTGATAATATACAAATTATCATTACTATTAAAGCTGACAAATACCCGTGATTATTTAAAATGTTTCTCGTTACCACCTTTAATCACTATTAAAGTATTTATACTGAGTTCTTACTAATTGTATAAGGCTGTAAACTATACAATAGACATACTGATAAAAACTCAATGACTGCATTAGGAGAATTATAATGGTGAATTATCTCATTTATTTCAGAAAACTTGCCAAAGCAATTATGGATGTATCTGATGTGACTAAACATGTTTCTACCTTACATCATCATATCAGAAAAATACGACACGTGACTGGTGAAGGCTGGAAAAGTGACCCTAATGTCATACAAACAGCAATAGAAGAAGCACAACAAAAATTGAATGACGTTACTCAAAATATAGATCAAATGTCTATGGAAAAGGATGATTTCAAAAGGTATAATGAATGGGTGTAATGAAATTAAAAAAGAAGTTTTGTTTGATAACGGATTGATAGGAAAAAAGATGTGGGATCATATACATCTAAGAGACACAAACCCAACAATCCATGGCTGTCCTACATCAGGAGTTTCGCCAGTGGTTGTCGTTTGTCAAATTGTGTTTATGGTAGACCTTTGATAATTTATGTTCAATTTATTGACTGTTTAAAGACGAACCATTTGGAGCTCGATATGTTTTATAGACAGCAGTCTGTTGTTGAAAAACGTATGTTGACCCTTAAAGTCTTTTGGAGAATATTTTGCATCTTTTGGTTGCTGTCACAGTGACGAATAGCTAACACCTTTTTCGTGTCAAATACATATTTTGTAACTTGTTATGAAATACGTCGAATTTCATACCCTCTCTTTTTTTACACAAATTATGTCAGTCTAGAAAAAAACGAAAACAATTGTGAATTCAACGTTTTAATCAAATATAATTATGACAATGGTCTACAAAATAATATTTTGAAAACTAAAGACTGAACAATATTAACCCCATCGAAAGCCAGGGGTGATCTGGGGGTGCTTCGGAATGGTACGCAAATCTTGCTCCACATGTCTTTGTTAAGTTTTGACCTGTTCATTGTCTGTTAACTGAGGAAGCTTCATTAGCACAACAATATTCCTACAGGTTTTCAGTTTTCGCAGATAATAAAACGTTTGATAATCTTATGATCTCTAATTTGAACGTTTAGTATTATACATTTATAGGAAGTACAAGAGTTCAACTGATGACCTCTCCAGAGTGGCATATAAAATACATCTACTCAGACTTGAAATAGAAGGCAAAAAGGCTGAAGAAGAAAATTCAAAAAGTGCGGATTACAATTATACAGCAGATATCGAAGCCGTTAAACAGAATTTATGGAAAGCAGTTGGTGAGAAAAAGGCATATGTAGAGTAAGTAAAATGTTCTTTCCGCCCATTTCAGTTAAAATCTTCAAACAGCTTGTTGAAGGACATTTTGTTTTAATTTTGACGTTCGAAATTTGAAGGGCTACATGTTTATTGGAAATTGGTTTTCCATAATTGTCCATACATAATAAAAATTACTAAAACTTAAGTTGCACATATTAAAATATTTACAGTAGAAAGATGTATGTTTTGTTTTTCTTATTGAAGTTCAAAAGCTTTATCTATTGAGCTTTTATGTCGTCTGATATACCGATTCGTTCTTAGATAATGATGTTAACGCTACATATTGTTAACACGGTCCACGTTTAATGATATTAATCGCAAAAGGATACTTTTTAACAAATCATTTTGATGAATTTACTTATATGAAATGTGGGAGGCATATTTGTTTGAAACAGAATAGTTGAATCATTTGCGTGTGTTCTATAGTCTATAATACAAATAAATCACTGAAACACCAAAGAGGACATCTTTGGAATAAAAGAAACTTAGGTGAAAAGGGTCGCCTTAGGCATGTTGCATTCCACTTTTTCTGAAAAATACTTTAATTCAAATATATAACGACCTTATACAGGGATATACATTGTAACTTTTACTTAATCAATTTTGGAAACATACCAACTTGTGAATTGTTTCGTTAATTTCCTTTAGAATAATTTTATTTCTGATGATACATATTTCGTATAAGAATTGTTTGCTTATTTGCTATATTTATACTTATATTTTCTTTTTAGTACTATAGATGAGAAATCAAGTCAAATATCGGATTTAAAGGAACAAATATCGAAACTTCAAATCCAAGTTACTGTTCGTGAAAATGAAATAAAAGAGAAAACCCATGAACTTCAAAGGTATGAGACACCCAGAAAAATAAACGAGTTAAAATTTGATTTAGATATTTCAATTGTGTTATTTGTGCATTTCAATTGTACTGCTACATGTAGCGTGTACAGGTCAGTATAGGTATAAAATTATTGAAATTAAAGATCAAAGAATTATAAAAAAATTATGATAAAAAAACTTAGAGTTGACAAAAACTACGAACAATATAACTGACAGGTTCATGTATATGATATATCAACTACTAGTATTTCCTTCTAATCTCGATCAGTGAATTTACAAAAGGAATATAAAATAACAACAATAAACACCAGTGCAAGAAAAGTAATTCACTTCAAAATGAGGATATGAAAAATAACAAAATCACTTGTATACAAACAAAACAATCACAAAAAAGCAGTTTCAAAGAATGTTCGCAGTTATACCGAAAATATGAAACCATGCCTTCTTACACTCTAATATACAGAAGGCGAGTTTACCCAAACATATTGAAGATTTCATACTGCAACTTTATAAATAGTACAGAAAGATTCAATCTAGAGCAATATCCAGACCAAACTGTAAATAATTTCATTGCAGAAGAAAAGAAAAATGTTAGTCATCTGTCAATCTATGAATTAGCGATACGCGAATTGATGATCGCAAATTTGTGATCCCCAAAATACCAGACATGAAACTAAAGTTATTTCAAATTATACTGTCATCAAATTTATCGTATTTAAAAATTACGGTTTTGCAAACATGGGATTATACTGATGTACTTAAAATTCATTGCTCCAAGAAAGACAAGCAAAGACATGACCAAAAGAAAAGTGACTCACAGAAAAACAGCAGTCCACAAAACAGAAAACGAGATATTGAGCGCGTGACCATCACCAACATTCGAGGTTGAGCTAAAGTGCCACACAAAAGTCCACTTGTGACAATCGCCGTGTTGCATTTGTTAAAATTGTGTATGTCCAGTTAAATATAGGTATACATGTTTGGGGAAATATAAAATCAAAAACTTTGTCCAAATGGAAGTAGAATTAATACAGGAATTACCTCTCTTTAATTGTAGATTCAAAGATACAGGTGGAGAAATATCAAAGGAAAACAAGCAGTTGCAAGAAAATATAGAGAGCACATCAAGAGAAAAGCGACAGCTAGAAAAAGAAACTGAAAATTTAAAGTCGACCTTAGAAAAGACTTCGAAGGAGCTAAAGGAAACACAGGATGACAAATCAAATCTCTTACGAAGGTAGCATTTTTAAAACAAACTTCTCATAACTTTTCTTAAAGGTACTCAGTACTTCACAGCATCAAAATTATGCCAGTTTTTGTGTTTGTTATAAAAAAAAATTTGGAAGGGACATTGGGTTCAGAAGTCCGGCTGGGGTTTTAAAACCACCCAATTCATACATTTATTTATTCAAAAATCCCTATCTATTCATAGAAAAATCATCATCTATCTATTTATTTTTCAACTAACAGACATATAATTGACATCTTAATTATATTTTAACGACATAAATCACAGGAGATTAATATCTATGACCCATTGACACATATATTTCAATCTAATGTTATACCATTTCTGTACTATTGAACCCCATTGATATATTCGACATATCAACAAGTTATCCATACCAGCGGCTCGTCTGCGTATACCTTTACATTTGAAGAGGATCCGCCGCACTACCACGTGGGAGTATCCACCTAAGTGTATCAACCGCGATTCTTAATCGCTATGATTCGTTGATCCTGAAAGGCGTTCACATTAAAAGTCTAATCAACATCATCAGTAAACCAATCAGAACTAACTTTTGCTACGTAAAAATTTCAAGGTTGCGTGTATATCGCATAAAACTAATAGGATAGCATCGTGACGCGAAGCAAACATCTATATTTTCTATTCATGGCAGTCGATCCTTAATTATTCCTTATTATTATTATTATTATTATTATTATAGTTATTTGTATTAATTATCAATAATTCATATGTCGTTTTTCGAGATGATTATCTTTATATCTGATTGTCGTATTGTTAAAATTTTGAACATTCTTGTCATTATGTAACATTAATTGTAACTGCATATGATAAGTATTTTTTTGTACAGTATGATAATCATTGTTCAATCAATGCAAACGAGAAATTGTATTAACGCATGACTGCAAAATATGCAAAAATGAAAAGAAATGTTTGTACTACTGGCAAAATTTAGCAGTATCTCACAAGAAACTTAGTTTAACCTTATTGCATAGTGTACAAGGACTTCCTCAATCTTAAAATAATTACTACGTACCATGAGTGCGGCTTTTAAATGAAATTGTAGATAAAGTCGTGCTAGTGTTACTTGATTCTTAGTTACCGCGAACCCGAATTCGTCACACATGTTCGATTCTTGTCAACGAACTTATTTTGTCTCAACGTACAATGATATACAATTGTGTTCCATAGTACAACTCCGTTTGAATAGTGGTAAATTTACTGCTTAACGAAATGTGAATTTTCAACAAATGGCATATAGTAAGTTTAATGTTTTAGGCTAAGCAAAGCTATGGGAAATAATCTTAGTGACGGAAATCCCTCTGTAGCTAACCTGAGTGATCCGTATAGACCAGAGAAAATGGCCGAGAAATTTTCACAATTATATGACGATGAGTGGACCAGTGCATTTGAGATATTGACTAGCATGTTTTCTATGGACGAGAGAATGGCAGCAGATTGTCTCTTGAATGTTGCAAAGGTAAATACAAACAGAAAAGGTAACACAATAGGTCAATGAAGATATTTGTTATTCATGAAAAATATTTGAAAAATACGTTTACCTTAAGATTTAAATGGAAAGTCTTTAATAATTTGTAGCAACATGCACATACACTTATCATAACCAACAGTATTTTAACAATCCAAACTTTTCTGATTGGGTTCCATTAATATATCCTCCAGAACTATAAAACATTTTTAGACTTATACCTCGAATTTGACATAAACGGTCATCTCAATACCAGAATATATGATACAGTTAAGTCTGCCTCATATCTTGACTTACATCTAGAAATTGACAATGATGGTCGGTTGAAAACAAAACTTTATGACAAAAGAGATGATTTCAGCTTCCCAATTATGAACTTTCCATTTTTATGTAACAACATTCCAGCAGCGCCTGCATACGGAGTATATATCTCCCAGTTGATACGATACTCCAGGGCTTGTATTTCCTATCATGATTTCCTTGATAGAGGGTTGCTGCTCACAAGGAAGCTATTAAACCAAGAGTTTCAAGTGATGAAGTTGAAATCATCCCTTCGTACATTTTACGGACGCCATCACGAGTTGGTTGACCGTTACGGAATATACGTTTCACAGATGATAGCGGATATGTTCCTAATCGTAACTACAATCTCCTTTTCCCGAATGTGACCGAGTTGTTACCAAGTTTGTACTAACATGAGCAGCACGACGGGTGCTACATGTGGAGCGGGATCTGCTTGCCCTTCCGGAGCTCCTGAGATCACCGCCGGTTTTTAGTGGGATTCGTGTTGCTCAGGCTTTGGTTTTCTGTGTTGTGTTTTGTGTACTGTTGTTTGTCTGTTTCTTTTTTTTTGCCATGAAGTTGTCAGTTTGTTTTCGATTTGTGAGTTTGAATGTCCCTTTGGTATTTTTCGCCTCTCTTTGACAAACGAGACGATTTTGATTTTAAAATTATAAATTTCCCCCACCTTAGCAGCAATATACCAACTTCACCTGCACATGGTATATACATTTCCCAACTCATTCGGTATTCAATAGCTTACAATTGATACACAGACTTTATAAAACATCACCAGTGTCTGAGCAGAAGGTTGATGAACCAGGGTTATGCCAAAGAACGTCTCGTCCTTTTCTAAAAAAGTTCATCGGAAGATATCAAGACCTTGTTGATAAATATTCCATATCAAATTCACGTATAATACATGATGGTCTTGAAGTACAGATTGTAGGTACTCATGTTGTTTATTATCTTAATAACGTGTTAAAGTGTTCTTTTTATTTGTCTTTGTATATTTTTAACTTTTACTGTTTAGTCCAATTTTGGTAATATACTTTTGGCGTGGCTCGGTATTTATACATCCCGCTACTGCGTTACTGTGCTATGGGCATTTTTAGTATTCTTGTCTTTCTTTTTTGCGTATGTACTTTTTCTATAGAATGTCTGTATGTCTTTTTGTTTTTCTTTTTTGAAATGGTTATTTTTTTATAGTGATTAAGATTATAACGCAATGTTGACTGATGTACCCCAATTGTTGACATTTTACTAATTATGTCTGTTTGTTTTGCTCACACATTGTTGTCAATATAATGGAATTATATGCGACTGTTATACAAGTGAGAGGTTTAGCCATGTACAAAACCAGGTTTAATCCTCCATTTTCTACATAGGGAAATGTCTGTACCAAGTCAGTTATATGACAGTTGTCTTCCATTCGTTTGATGTGTTTGAGCTTTTGATTTTGCCATTTGATAGAGAACTTTCCGTCTTGAATTGTCCATGGAGTTCGGTATTTTTGTTATTATACTTTTTAAATCGGTATGTGAACTAAAACAGATAAGTTGGTACCGTTAATGCTATTAAAACCAAATACATCATCTGATACCGTCATCGAGGGTATGACGAGATCAGTATTAATACTGTATCTTTTTATACTGACATCATCAGCCCGAATATAAGTTCGCCATGGCGAGCTCGCTAGATATTCTTTCTGATAAGTCAGTATCAAAAACGAAATTTCCATTATTCTATTTACAATTATTTATTTAAAGATTTTATGTGTGTAAAACTTTTTTTTTTATGCATATCAACAGAGGACTTTTCTTGCGAACATAATGCTAATTCAGTTCAAGTTATTACTTGAATGAAACAACATTTTTGATATCTTCTACTTCTATTTGTCAGATAACTAAATCGATATATATACATTGGTTTTTTTTTCTAGGAAAGCTACCATTTTTGTCTACGTCTAGCTGAGGGTCAGTTAAAGGATGTTACTCGTATTTTACTAATGATACATAGAGATGGTGTGAATGAAATGGTTAGTTTTAACTTATAAAGCCAAAACATAATACTTGCATTACTAGATGCTTGCTGTACATAAATAAGTTTTCTGTGTGATTGGAGAGTAGCGGACATAGGGTTATGGTTTCGTATCTAAGTGTAGAAATGCCGCCATCTTGCTGTCTAAGTTATTGAACAGCACTATTTAAATATGGCGTTAAAATTAAGTACATGCAGTAAGATTAGACTTTCTAGCCATCAATCAATCCCTAATGACGATTGCAGTAAATTCAGTTAGGATTTTTATGCATCATCTGACGATACTAAAATGTCATCCTATCCTTCCTTGGTATGCAAATAAGCTGTCAATAGTATTTTGCCCCCGTTTAAACAAATACTTTGTAAACATTATATACATACTTCTATGTAGTATACTTTTTTCTTTTTTGGGAGGATGGGGGTTAATTCATGACAAACCAGTTCCTTTTCCTGTCAATTATACATCTTTAAACCGACATCGTATGTTATAAAAAAAAAAGTATGTATTATAATAACTTAGAGAGTAATGATCAGATTTATGACAAATATACTGTCCACACCACCATGCAAAGTTAGACGTCGTCTACATATTTCAAGCGTTCTAGCAATTTCAATTAATTTGCGGTTTGACTGGAAAATGTTTGATAGTTTTAAAATGAGTAAAAGGTGATGTGGGGTCCTCGTCAATGACGTAGTACCCAAAACGACACAAAAAAAGTCATATTAAGGTGAGCATGTAGTCTACATCAAAAGACAAGTATCTACATAGTATTTGATGCTTACAAATTGTCTTTTGGACCCAATGCATTGGTATAGAAATATCTGGAATTCTATCCGGTAGCAAAATCCATGAAACAGAAAGGAATCTGTTTGGATTTTAAAAGTCCATAAATAAGCAGCCCAGTCGGGTCGGAATGGGGGTTCTAGATATGATGCCTCGTGTCCTGAATATACATGAAATATTTGACAGTGGACGATAAAAAAATCCGTAAATCTTTCTAAATGTATTCATCAATACAATTCTAGAATATAAGGAGTAAAAATAAACTCCATTACATCTGCGTACTCCTATATTATAATGTGAATGAAAAGAACTCGTGTTGAATTATTGTATTTAAAATCTCATCCTTCCATTTGAAAACGAAAGCAGAACAAATCATTGTAGTAGATATGTCTATTGAAAATGTCAAATCCCTAAAACCATTTTTTACTCAACGATCTGTTATGTTCTTTTAAAAACACAAATTTTAAAGGTAAAACATGCATTTTGACGGTGTTATATATATTGACCAGTCATGCCTTGTGCAGTTATGGAATGCCTTATTGAATAGTGATATCTTGTTATTGCAATTATGACAAATAGAATATATTTTAGGCTAATCCGGAAAAGACGCATTCACTCAGCAAAGAAGATAGTCGCCAAATAAAAGATGTAAGAAAAGAACTTGCGAAATATTCAGCAGCCACTGTTATAGGGGTAATAATATTTTTTATTATATTATAAAACGAATTGTCGTCTAAATCCCTTGCCTCTATAACAATCAATTGTACGAACAATATTATTTTAGAATCGAACTGTAGAAACACTTACTTTTACGTTTCTTAAAATAATTCAGACCATTTACAAGATGAAAGTCAGTTTCGTTTTATCTTACGGAAAATTGGTTCAGAAATAATTGTCCACTAAATCAATAGGAGCATAATCAACCAAAGATGAAGAACTGGATCTTCCATCACTGTATTGGATACCTAAACTACATAAGTGTCCTTACAAACAAAGGTATGTTGCTGGGTCTTCCAAGTGCTCCACGAAACCTCTTTCTTAATTATTAACATCTATTTTATCAGCAATCAAAGCCGGGCTCCAAAGTTATTGTGAAACTGTCTATTCTAGAGGTGGCGTGAATCAGATGTGGATACTAAAAAATTCCAAAGATCTTTTAGAGTACATACAATCTAAGACTCTCTCATCTTGCAATAGTATTAAAACATTTGACTTTTCTACACTTTACACAAGTATTCCTCATTCCAAACTAAAAGACAAATTGAAAGAGTTGGTATTACTTTGTTTCATTAAAAAGAATGGCGAACGTAGATACAAGTATCTTGTCTTAGGGAGAGATAAATCCTACTTTGTAAAGAATCACTCTGATTCAAACAAAAAATTCTCTGAAACTGACATTATCAAGATGCTTGATTTCTTGATTGACAACATATTTGTTACGCTTGGAGGACGTGTTTTTCAACAGACTGTCGGAATTCCAATGGGAACCAATTGTGCCCCTCTTCTTGCCGACTTGTTTGTTTATTATTATGAGGCTGACTTCATACAGGAACTTCTCAGGAAGAAAGATAAGAAGTTAGCAATATCCTTTAACTTTACGTTCCGCTATATAGATGATGTTCTCTCACTAAATAATACAAAATTTGGTGACTATGTTGAACGAATCTATCCCATCGAACTAGAGATAAAGGATACTACAGATACAGTTAAGTCTGTCTCATATCTTGACTTACATCTAGAAATTGACAATGAGGGTCGGTTTCTATGTAGCAACATTCCAGCAGCGCCTGCATACGAAGTATATATCTCCCAATTGATACGATGTTCCCGGGCTTGTATTTCCTATCATGATTTCCTTAATAGAGGATTGCTGCTCACAAGGAAGCTATTAAACCAAGAGTTCCAAATGGTAAAGTTGAAACTTATCCCTTCGTAAATTTTACGGACGCCATCACGAGTTGGTTGACCGTTATGGAATAACCGTTTCACAGATGATATCGGATATGTTCCTTATGTCGTAACTACAATACCCTTCCCTTTTCACGATTGTGACCTACCGAATCAGACTATTTACCGGATTTGTAATAACATAAGCAACACGACAGGTGCCACATGTGGAGCAGGATCTGCTTTCCCTTCCGGAGCACATGAGATCACCCCCAGTTTTTGGTGAGGTTCGTGTTGCTTAGTCTTTAGTTTTCTATGTTGTGTCATCTGTACTATTATTTGTCTGTTGGTCTTTTTATTTTTGGCCATGGCGTTGTCAGTTTGTTTTCGATCTATAAGTTTGACTGTCCTTCTGGTATATTTCGTCCCTCCTTTCTTGCTCTAAAAATAAAACAAACCAGTTCAAATACGTATTCGATTTTTAAAAAAATGCACTACTATTTAAATATTTTGAAACGCCATTAAAAAGATGACGGTATTCGTGAAGAGGTTATATATAATAAGTTAATATGTTAAAATAAACCAACGGACATTTGATACCATACGTTCTTCATATTTTTTCACGAATCTGCATTATTTCTGTTTATTAAATACTTAGTAGTAAATACATGTAAATTGTATGTGTAATACGACCAATGGCAATCGTGCTGTATCAGCCATCCGTGATGATATCAATAGCAGTCACTGTTACAAAGCCTTTATCACACCACTAATCTATATGACGTCACGTCATCGACATCAGTCACGGTTGCAAAGGCTTAATCAAACCCCTAATCTATATTACGTCATGTCACGACGTCTAAAAAACAACTACTTGAGTTATATAATAAAGTGTATATGATGTGGCATTTCAATATCACACACCGTATCAACCCTCAACCAATATAATCCCCCGAGCAGAGCTCGTGGGATTATATTGATGTCTTGGGTTAATACGGATGTAATATTGAAAAAGCCATACAATATTCTCTATATATCAATATTTGTAAGAATACTCATTAGATATAACGTAACACGTTTCGATATTAACATGGAGCTATGTTTGTCACTGATCATTTCAAGATATCAAACCAAAGACATTAGCAACTTACATACTGTAGAGTAAAAAACTGATTTATGACGTTAATGATCTAAAACAGTATTCTAAAGAAATTAATGAGATGAATAATCACACAAAGAAATATAGCGGGTGAAGAGAACATCTTAAATACTTAGACATATGTATTTTTATTTCCAGTTGTACCAGACATCAGAAGGAAAATCTTATATCACTGAAGAACAAATCGAACAATGTGAACAGTTTGTGCATAAATGTGTTGAACTTTGTTGGCTAATGGCAGTCAATGATCCACCGGTACATATGTTTAGTGATCTGAAATCAGGGGAGTCAATAGATACCACATATTTCCGACACTTCACGAGTTCTGGAGACTATGTTGAATATCTTGTTTGGCCTGCATTGTTACTTAGCAAGAAAGGACCTGTGATATCGAAAGGAGTAGTGCAGGCTATATGAAAGTCTATAAAGAATACTCTATAAGATGTCCTCAATAATTTTATTTTGATTAAGGCGTTGTACATACAAAAACATAGCTGGTACATTATTTTTGTTCACTACCTGCAAAATATGTAGCATCACTTTTGATCGTCATATAATATACATGCAGCACTGGTGCTAATATGCTGTCGTTCCACAAATTATTTGTCCTCATGTTATATTTAAAATTAAAAAGTTATAATATCGTCTTTAGTTTATTTAACATGTACAAGTCACTGTGCTGTATAGGTTTGTAGGGTGCCACATGTGGAGCAGGATCTGCTTACCCTTTCCGGAGCACCTGAGATCACACCCAGTTTTTGGTGGGGTTCGTGTTGCTCAGTCATTAGTTTTCTGTGTTGTGTTTTGTGATGTGTTTTGTGTGCTGTTGTTTGTCTGTTGGTCTTTGTCTTTTTTAGCCATGGCGTTGTCAGTTTATTTTCGACTTATGAGTTTGAATGTCCCTCTGGTATCTTTCGCCTTTCTTTTGAATTCTGACGGACTTTAAAAAGCAACACTAGATAGTTTTTTCAATTCCCATTTGTTAAATAAATGTATATAATACATAATTTTTCATTCAGTTCTTCATCGTCTTTGAAAAAGTTTGCAGTTCGAAAGTTGAATTGAATACGTCATTTTTAATGTTCAAATCATGTATTATGCACTGAAACCCTAGTTTTTCCCTTATCAAAGGATTTGTTACCGTCGAAGGCGATGAATGCCTGTAACCAACGCCAAAATGATTGTCAGAAAGGTCAACCAATTCTGTTGGGCATGTTTTGAGATCTGTTTTGTACCTTCTGATTTTGCCTCTGTCCCACCCATTGCAGTGTTTTTAACAATAATGGGGTTAAAACTTTAGGGCTCTAAATGTTTTTCTGCAGTCGATTCTTTGGCATTGCAGTATATTTGAAATATTTATGACGTGAATCTGGCGGCCGTAAACATGTCTCGCAAATGACGTTGCGTAATCAATTTTATTGACGTGGCGTTGTCACTACATATTGATCTGGTCATAGAGGGTCATCAACAAATCCCGTCTGCCTGTACCGTTGTTGTAAGGACAGTAAGATGAGTTTCTGATGTTTTTGTTGCGTTTTTTACGTCCGTTAGTATATGAATACAGATATTTTGGATCTCAAGAAGAGGTTTTATGTGAATATATTAGTTAAATATACTTGCCTGATACATTTACTTTATTTATAGAATACGTTCCGCATATTATAATACTCTCATCACAAACACCCAGACGTTTTGGATTTATAAATACCGTATCCGCTTCCGGGAGTAAACTGCATCAGGTAAGATAAGTTTTAAATTTTGCGTTGAATTGAACGGATGCTCTCATTCAAATCTTATATCAATTAAAGTAAAACTTTGTCGATTATTTCTACTATTGGTCTTTGTGTATAGTTGTTTATTGTCCTATAAATCGTAATTATGGATGGCGATGCTGATATGCACGATTCTGACAACAGAGAGTCGCTAATCTTTTCTATCTTGACCAACGACTCTGCAGATGATAAAGTTCTTATGTTGCACTTAATTCATAATAGAAGTTATCAATCATACAACACCAGAAATTTGTGAACTCTTCTTGAGATTAACAAATATCTATATTATGTGAATTAGTTAAAAATACTTGCCTGATACATTTACATTATTACAAAGCAGTGAACGGTCTTCTGATGGTAGATACATTTCTTCTTTAAAATTTATCACCAATATCATCAAAACACCAAAACAGTTACTTATATACAAATGGTAATTACAAACATGACCGTACTAATCATCTTTCTGAAATACAATATATATATATAATAATGTTATTCTAAATATTTATGGCTGTCTACATCCCTCAAATAAAACATAACAGTCAGCAGCATCCAAAATAGATCGAATTGATGCCCCATTGTATATTGTATAGTGTTTAACTTGAAGCAATTGAGTTGAATGGGAATTTACTCTTAAATTTTCATCTAAATATGACTTTTTGTTACCTGAACTATCTAATTAGCAATTGTAACTGGTTTGGGAGGCTCTTCAATGGCAAGACAAGTTTGACTTTGTTTTTTTTTTTAACTATAACCTCTGTTCAATAACTTTAGTTCTTTCTAAAAATATAGAAATTGAACTTTTTATATCAAATAAAGGTCTATCTTTGAAATGTGTTACATGAATTAAGCCCTAAAATGACTTGGTCTATCCTGTTTTTCTAAACTATGTTTTTTTAATGTTATACCCTTTTCATGTATCTTCATTGAATCTTGGGTCAATCCTTAGACTCTGTAAGTCACTGCATCTTTTGAAAGTTGTTATTGCAGTAAGAAAAAACAATAATTACATTGACTGGTTACCAGCTATTGTACAATATTGCAACTCTGATTCAAACAAAAATACTACAAAATCGGCAGTTTAATTTAAAGTAGCTGTAAATGTATCGATTTGTTTTGTATCACGCCAACTACAGTACTTTTCGAATTTTGCAGAATAATCTCTCTGCTTTCCTGTTCGCAAAAATGCATTGAGCAAAATTCTTGCTGACTTGTTGCTATCAGTAATACAAGAACCTCTAGATTCATCTTTCTGAAGCATATGTCATGATGGTAGCGGTGGTACTGGGATATACTAAAAATCGGCCTTTCTGTGTGTTGGCTGAATTTTCCACCATGAAAGATTGGATTTTAGATGTTGTTTAAATGGAATCAATATACTCATATCCCTGCACATTGGATTCCAAAAACTTAAAAGATGCACTTGAATGGGTCTCATGTAAAAACTGCATTCGAAATTAATTCAATGCAACATGCCATTGTACCTAGAATTTATTTTTTTTAATCTAAAGCTGTTGATTGACCAAGAAACATGTTTTGAATCAACATATGTCTTTTGTGTATTCTCTACCTTGATTGAAATACTTAACCCTTTTCCAAATGAATTACTCCCCCAAGGTAAGTGATTGCTGACTTGGAACAAGGTTAGATTTCTCATTGTTTGTGATGAAATCTAGTGAAACTATCAAATTAAACTATTTCTGTCGATCTTGTAACAACTGATTGTTGTCTTGATTTATTATTAGCCAGTCGTCTAAATAAATCGCTAATCTTATGTTTTGAGGTCTCAGATAAGCTGCTACTACTGATACAACTTAGGTAAATATTCGTGGAGCATATATTGGACCAAAGCGCATTGCTTTCCACTGATAACTCTGATTTTGTACATCAAATCTCGTGTATTTTCTGTGATTTAGACTTAATGGGAGATGAAAATATGCATCGGACAGATTGAGAGAAATTGTACAATCTTTCAGTCTCACAAAGTTTATCAATTTTTGCATAGTGTCCATTTTGAAGTGTATTTTCTTCAAATAACCGTTGAGGGGGTCTTAAGTTTGCCACCTTTCTTAGTTTTCCGTTTTCTTGCATGAAAACATCCAAATTTTCTTGAAATATCATTGTTTTCTTTATTCCCGTCCAAAACAGTTTTTGAATAAGTTCCAATTTGTACCCTTCTTTTACCATTAAAAGAACCAATTTGTCTGTTGTAACATGTACCTGACTTTGAAGAAATTCGGTTAGGCGACCCGCTACTTGAATTTCTGGGTATATATCTAGACTTAATTGTGAGTCAACTTTCACTCTGCTTGAGGATCCGAAAAGAACACAAGGAGTTCTTTGTAGTTGTCTTCCCGACTTTAAAGTCTTTCTTGTTCCTCTTTTGTTGGTTAGAACTTGCAACTTTATCTTTGCTACTGTTATAACAATAGGTTGAAATAGGTTTTCTATTATCATTAGATGTATAACTAGTGGTTGTATTCTGAAATCGTGTAGGTCGGGCACCTTGCTCAGAATATATAGCTGACTTGTTTGAGGATAATCTGCACTCTTCAAACTTCTTTTTTTTTTACTAAATTCTGGTAAATGGTCGTTCAATTGATCTTTCTGTTCCTTCCTTTTCTCTAAGGTAGTTTCAAGACCTTTACCGAAGACTCCCTCTTCAGATAAAGGAAGTTACTGACTTTTGGAACTCAAATGTTTAATATTTGACAATCTTGAATCGTAAGCATCTGCATTGCGGCGTATAAGGTGTAAAAATGCACCATATCGACCCACCTGGTCTAATGACTTAGTAGACATAGCAGAAATGTCTTTCACAGTCTGACACACTGTGTTTATGTCAACGTCATTTTCTTCAAGATCTTTCAACAAAGATGTTTGTGTCGTCTGCATATATAGCATCGCAATAATTTTCATTCTTTATACTAGTTGACCCTGAAAACCAAGCTTTTCATTTTGTTTGAAAGGTTGACTACACAATTGTCTATGTTTGTACCAAGACGTAACTACTGTTTGATCATGAGTTTGTCAGAGCATATGCTCTAATAAGTCATCGAGCGAAGGTATCTGTAAAAAGTTTAAGCCTGCCAAATCTCATTATTTGGAAAACCATATGTGTACCTTCTATATACTGAGAGGTGTTCTGGGTCCAGACCAGAAATTCTCTTTGATTTTTACCACTGCTTGATCGAAAACAAGTTCTACAGTAGATTTTTCCTTACTAAGATCTTCATCAGACTTTTGTCAAAATGTTGTGCCTGTACCTGTTCATTGCGTACATTTACATGTTTTAAAAACATTCCATCTTTTGAGATCAGAGTTCTCTTTCACTGGACTATTTCCAGACACACTATCATCATCTTCATCTGAATGAATATCTAATTCATTGGAATATCTAATTCATTACCATCTCTATCAACTACACTGGTAAAAATGTCAGCACATACATATAAATCTCTGTTTTTAGAAACAAGTGGAGACTCTAAATCCTATTCAAAGTATGGTTCTAGACTGACAAGTATCATACGCTCCCCTGACAGGACTTACCAACATTTTGACGATCAGATCTGGGCAAAGCTGAACGTTCCCTTATCTGATCATTGGTTTTTTTTCAATAAAGTAAGCTAATAATTGAAAAAGTCTATCAAATTTCACATTAAAGTTACTTTCTAAATTTGCAAATTTTTCGTCGTAAGCAGTTTCTAACGTCTCTTTATTTGATGTACGTTTCTTTCCACTTAAAACTTTTTCAAACTAGTAGTTCTTGCACTTGATTCAATAGATTTTTTTCTTATTGTCAGAATCGTGCATATCGTCATCACCATCCATAATAATGATTAATAGCACAATACATAACTATACACAAAGAC